AGATGACCAACCAGTTCATAATTTTGCTTTGCATGTGTTTGCTACTATTGCTGTGAACCTAAGGGACTCTGTGTCTATATTCAGTAGAATTAAAGTGACAGACGAAGAGGTCACAAGTTTAACAGGTGTTACACGCAATTACTTTAGGGCATGTGCACTCTTTTCATCAGTCTCTCCAACTACTTGGACTATTGGCCATTGTGTGGCAGCTCACACAAAACAAATTAAACAGGAGCTTGGTGTGGGGCTTGGGGTCAACACAATGGAGGGCAGAGAATCTAAACATGTCTCTCTCGCCAGATTTGAAAGAAACACCCACCATTCAACGCGTTGGGTACAGGTATTCAGACATGAATACATCTCCCTTATCTGGCTTAGGGAAAATGGGTGTGATTTGGTTAAACACACACCCACCAGGAATAAGTATATCCCTGCACGATGCTTCACTGCCACATTTTGTCATGGTGGCAATCAGAAACCCCGAGGGGAGGCTAAATGTACTTTCTGCGTCATCCCATACAGCAGACTATTGACGATTGTATGAAGCAAGGTAAACTGACTGCTCAGGCTAAGAGTTTAGCAGCTAATGCCAGGGGTCTAATGTAAACATAAAGGTTTTGATACTTACTTACTTACTTATCAAACAGTTTTGATACTTGTTTAGAATAAAGTTATGTCAACTTATTTATTGTTGGGCAATTGTCAACTGTTGAAACTTGAACATTCGTTAACACAAATTATGAATGTTACATATTTTGCACATTTAGACTAAGAAAAGAAACTTATTTATTGTTGGGCAATTGTCAATTGTTGAAACTTTAACATTATTTTTTTAACACTGAAATTATTAATGTTATATATTTTACACATTAAGACTAAGGAAATAAACTTATTGTTGTTCCCACAATTTAAACTGTTGAGAAAATGTATTTTGCAGTGATGCTAGTGCAGAAAATAAACAATCAATGAAAAAAGTTGTTCGAGTCATTGTGTTTTCTCTGAGTCCTAAATATGTTGAGGCCAGCCATATTCATTCCATACTCAATAAAAGAAATCAAATGTGATCTCCTCAGTTGTACAATTAAAAGACACACCCAATTCCTTTTCCTCATTGATTATAGCTTGCACTTTCTTTTTACCACTTGTCGATCTCTTAAGGAATTTTTCTTCCTCGATTTCGCAATCCATAATCTCACAAAACAGACGTTGCACCTTTGTTTCCCTGGTAAAAACCATTACAATGCGCTTGCTTGTACTGTGCGTGGTAACCCCATAAGAGCTTCTGGTAGCAATTTGTTGAACCATTGCCAAATAGATCCCCGCTGAGATTTTCCGAAACAATAACTCTCCATGGATTTTCACTCCACACCTTGGGGTCATTCGTCGCATGAATGTTTTATACCATCTTTTTGAAATACTTGTCAGCATGGGAAATGCTGCCAAGAGCAAATGCTTGTGTTGTTGTCGAATACCTCCAAAATGCCTTTTCGAAACTGAAGACAACCACATTTTTAACTCACGGAAAGCCTCATTCGTTTGGGAACTTTCCATTCCTGCACTTATCAGCTCATCTTGAGCCGCTGCAGGGCAGAGAGGACAGTCGTTTCAAATTTGTTTACACTTGCGTCCGCCATTTGTAATTTTGAGAAAGCCTACTAATGACACCGCTGACCCTTGACCTCGCAGGAAAGAAGTAGCCTGATCTGGCCTCAAAAATCCCCAGCGTGTATCACTTCGGGAAAGCACGCTCCACCTGTTAGAAAGATTCAAACCCATCGAGCACTCTCTGGACATTTATTCTTTAACATACGCTGTGTCACAGTTCACAAGGACGAGCGCCAGAAAAAAAAACAGAACAGTTCTAATATATCAAAAGCCACATGTCAAGAATTAGCCAATGAGAAACGTTCATTGAGTAGCATAAATTATCATAATCCTAACACTCCCACTTGATGATTATGCTGTTCAGCAAAAAATGATACTTTGTCTAGAATAATAGAGCTAAATAATGATCCTCACACAACATCATGCACGCTTAATAAATCTCTCAGTTTCTCAAAAGTAGGTTTTGGTAGTCCCTTTGTCATAATGTCTGCTACCATGTCCTCAGTACGACAATAAATTAGTCTAATTTCATTAGAAACAACTCTTTCTCGGACAAAATGATGACAAATGTCAATGTGCTTAGTTCGGCTATGGTATTTGGCATTCTTTGCCAGCTCAATGGCTCCTTGGTTGTCTTCATGGATGGTAGTCGGGGCATCCGTCTGTTTTCCAAAGTCTTTCATCAGACGACGTAGCCATATAGCTTCTTGAGTAGCTGAACTCAAAGCAACATACTCCGCTTCAGTCGAGGACTTAGCAACTGTGGGTTGTTTCCTGCTGGACCAACTGATGGTACCATTTCCAAACTGAAGTACATAGCCTGATGTTGCTCTACGAGTGTCAACATCTCCTGCCCAATCTGCATCACTGTAGCCATTTAATTCTGTTTGCTCTCCATGAACAGAGAATTTCAGGCCATAATTCAAAGTTCCTTTGAGGTATCGTAGAACACGTTTCACACAAAGAGTTGCCTAATTCCCAAACTCATGCCTTACAAGGAATTGATGGCTAAGGTAAATGCCATTAACATTGGCACCTTACATGATGTGAGAGAAACCCTGTGTGATGGTTTGGATGATTCAGACAAAGTAGATGGGAAGTATAGAAATCTCACTGAATTGCTTTTGAGACTAGCTCAGTTCTACTTAGAAGTTAATAAGCAACGTGTTGATAAACTTAACTGGTTTGGCAAGGGGGTGGGATCTTTTAAGGTTGCTATAGGGGGGGACGGGGCCCCCTTTGGCAAAGATGACACAGCCTTAAGCTGGTTAGTGAGCTTTCTTAATATGGTCCCAGAATTTGTAGCCACGAAGAAAATTTTCTTTTACTAGGAGCAGACTGTAAAGAGGATTGTGAACCCATCAGACGCTATGTGTGTAAGTTAGCTAACGAAATGAATGAAGTAGAGAAGAAAACCTTCCCTGTAAATGTTGATAGCAAGGACATCACAGTATCATTCTCTTTTGAAATGTTCCCGAACGACATGAAATACTTCGCATTTCTCGCCGGTGAACTTTCCAATTCTGCAAAATATTTCTCGTCATTCGCTAATGTCAACAAAGATGATATTGGTGATGTTACTGCCACTTTTGGGGTTAAAACCTCAAACAAATGGCTACCTTGGGGTTATGCACAGAGAATTGCAGTAGCAGGTACTGTAGCTAAAAAGAAAGAAGAGCTTGGCAGGTCCGGTTCGTACCTCAAGCCAGCTACCATTAGACAGAAGGTAACCTCATTCATTGCACAAAAAAAGTCTCGACAGGAATTGCCCCCCTTGCTAGGTAAAGCAATTGACAAAGTTAAGGTGGAACCCTTGCATGTCAAAAACAATGGATGGCAACAGTGGCATTCAACGGTCTTGAAATATGTGTAAGCACGTACCTATGTAAGTAGCTGTGAGAGTGTCAATGACACTCCTGCCTTAAGCTGCTTTAAACGGTATTACGAAACAGTAAGGTTTTCCCTAAAGGCTGGAAGACTTGCTAAAAAGGTGAGGAAGTGGTTCTGTGACGGCTGTTTGAAAAACAAGGACCTTGAGTACAGGTTCACAGGGAAAGAATCCTTGATAATGTGTCATCAATTCATGACCTTGCTTTCTGCTCTTGAACTAGAAGATGACCAACCAGTTCATAATTTTGCTTTGCATGTGTTTGCTACTATTGCTGTGAACCTAAGGGACTCTGTGTCTATATTCAGTAGAATTAAAGTGACAGACGAAGAGGTCACAAGTTTAACAGGTGTTACACGCAATTACTTTAGGGCATGTGCACTCTTTTCATCAGTCTCTCCAACTACTTGGACTATTGGCCATTGTGTGGCAGCTCACACAAAACAAATTAAACAGGAGCTTGGTGTGGGGCTTGGGGTCAACACAATGGAGGGCAGAGAATCTAAACATGTCTCTCTCGCCAGATTTGAAAGAAACACCCACCATTCAACGCGTTGGGTACAGGTATTCAGACATGAATACATCTCCCTTATCTGGCTTAGGGAAAATGGGTGTGATTTGGTTAAACACACACCCACCAGGAATAAGTATATCCCTGCACGATGCTTCACTGCCACATTTTGTCATGGTGGCAATCAGAAACCCCGAGGGGAGGCTAAATGTACTTTCTGCGTCATCCCATACAGCAGACTATTGACGATTGTATGAAGCAAGGTAAACTGACTGCTCAGGCTAAGAGTTTAGCAGCTAATGCCAGGGGTCTAATGTAAACATAAAGGTTTTGATACTTACTTACTTACTTATCAAACAGTTTTGATACTTGTTTAGAATAAAGTTATGTCAACTTATTTATTGTTGGGCAATTGTCAACTGTTGAAACTTGAACATTCGTTAACACAAATTATGAATGTTACATATTTTGCACATTTAGACTAAGAAAAGAAACTTATTTATTGTTGGGCAATTGTCAATTGTTGAAACTTTAACATTATTTTTTTAACACTGAAATTATTAATGTTATATATTTTACACATTAAGACTAAGGAAATAAACTTATTGTTGTTCCCACAATTTAAACTGTTGAGAAAATGTATTTTGCAGTGATGCTAGTGCAGAAAATAAACAATCAATGAAAAAAGTTGTTCGAGTCATTGTGTTTTCTCTGAGTCCTAAATATGTTGAGGCCAGCCATATTCATTCCATACTCAATAAAAGAAATCAAATGTGATCTCCTCAGTTGTACAATTAAAAGACACACCCAATTCCTTTTCCTCATTGATTATAGCTTGCACTTTCTTTTTACCACTTGTCGATCTCTTAAGGAATTTTTCTTCCTCGATTTCGCAATCCATAATCTCACAAAACAGACGTTGCACCTTTGTTTCCCTGGTAAAAACCATTACAATGCGCTTGCTTGTACTGTGCGTGGTAACCCCATAAGAGCTTC